TTAACTTACTGGTCAACCCGATTGATTTACACAGTGGGTTGAGTCAACCCATGAGTTGACTCAAGCCCCCAAGTCGGTATAGAGGGCTAGCCCACAAGCTGTGGCCTAGACTGGCCGAATTCGGGCCTAAACAAGCCTGGCCCAATCTTGCACGGACTCGGTTCCATTTGAGTTCATCGTCCTTACTCGACTCCCCAACCTGAAATCAATGTTTGGGTCTGTAACAAACCCGGAACTCCAAAACCCAAAAAAAAAAAAAAAAACACAAATTGATTCCTCACTTGGACCGATTGATGCTTGGAAACCCTAGATTTGGATTAGGCGAGCCTCACCAAGCCCTTTAATCAAATTGAAATTGGTTGATTATCAAAAAATCCAACAAAAGATCCCTCGTTCGTTAATGCGTCTCATTGACTCGAGAACTCAAAAATCCTCACAAAATTTTGCTCGATTCTTGAAATCAATGAGGGAGTTTGGTTCGTCTACCCAAGACAAACCCAAATATACAAAAATGTTTGCCATACCTGCTCCCAATAATCACAGCATGGCCAGTTGTTCAACCGATCCATTGTTAATCAAATTTCTCTATCCCGTCTCCATCTAGTCCCCTATTTTCCATTTTCTTACAATCAAGCCCCTTCCAAATTTTCTGATTTAATCTTTATTCTTTAATTTAAACCACTTTCACCCCCACATTTAAATTAAGGACCTTCATTCTCCTAAATTAACACTCTACACCCCCGTAACTCCTAACACTCTCCGGATTGCCTCATTTGATGGAATTCTCGTTCCCTAGGGAATGAAAATTCCTATTTCAAAGTGCCTGCTAAATACACTTTTTTAAGATTACCATTCCCATTCCCATTCCTTTAATAAGATTCTATCGTACTATATGCCACCTTAATTCTCATTTTATTTTCTAATTAGGGTCATAACAAGCATTTTTATCCAAAATATTATTTTTGACTTTTAACTAAATCAAAGGAAAGTAAAATTGAAAATCATTTTTACCTAAAATAAGTAGGAGAGAAGCACATTTAAAATGTAATAAAAATAAATAGGCATGGCATTTTTGGTTTAACAAATAATAAAATACAATAAATTTTAATTTAATTCTCATATCATTAGTGGACTTTGTGCAACCTAGTTAAAATACAAAGGGCACTGAGACTATCTCTCCTATAAAAAATAAAAATCTGTTATTAGAATTTTAATTAGAGGATAGGGATTTACTTAATTTGTACCGAGCTTCCCATGATGATTTAAAGTGTGTTTGTTTAAACTTTTAAATAAAAAATACATTTGAAATATTTTAGAATATTTTGGATAATTTTAAAAAATAAAAAATTTATTAATTCAAAGTTAGTATAAAATAATTTCTGAAAAACAATTTGAAAGCACTTTTTAAACTAAAACGTGATTTTCATAATTATTCAAACTGCAGTCTAATTAAATAAAAAATTGTCAATTATGAATAAATAATTTGAATTTAGTTAAATTTTAATTACATCTTTGAATAATTTTTACTAAATTCATAGTTGTTAATTTTTTATTTATTTAGATTGCATAAATAGTTTAATTAATTTTGTAAAATTTAATCATATTTTAATTTAATATCTAAAGTTAAATATATTTAGTATACTTATTTTCGATTATAACATATTAATTTTAAATTTTAAAATTTTAACAATTAACTATTTTATATATTTAAAATATTTAGTATTTAAATTAAAGAATTGAAAAGATAAATTTAATGGTAGATTAATAGTATTAACATTTAAAAAATAAATAACATATTATAAAGTTAAAAAAACTAAATAAATAAAGAAAGAAATTTAAAAACGTATAATAATTTTGCCCAAAAATTAATTTCAAAGCGTTAATGAAAAAGAATACTTGTGAGAAAAAAAAATTTCAAATTCTCCCCACTTAACATTTATTTCCAATTCCCGCTTTAGTCCAATTATAACCAACAGCCAGTCAACTTTCTCCCTCTCCCTATTCGGTTAATTATAAGAAATATTTTCTCAGTCCGCTTTCAATATCGTCCGTCCTCTCTCTCTCCCCCCCGCCTATACTCGCATATGCATATGCTCTGCGTACAACGCCGCCCCGCTGTGTCCTGTTGGTAGACAACAGAAAAATCGTTGCAGAAATCCAAACAAAGTTGCATAGTTGATGGAGTCTCCTCCGGCGACGGCAACAGTGTTGAGAACTTTCTTCCTTCTCCTCCTTGCGTCTCTGTTTCTCAACTGCTTCACCGACTTCCGATCCCACGCTCAACTTCTGCCCGAAGATGAGGGTACTACGCCCTAATTTTTTTATTCAACTTTCTCAATCTGTGCAATTTCTTCACTCATCTTCTCTCCATTATCTGTCCAATTTGTCCTCTCTTCCGTGTTGGAATTCTGCTTGATCAACGATTACCTAATACTGTGACTGTCTTTTCTGGATAAACCTTTTTTTTTTTTTTTTTTTTTAAATTCACCCTTGTATGCGTTTCCATTGATTTTGAGTAGCCTAAAAGATCCAACATAAGGCGTAAAAACGCTAAATAAGAGAGGTTCGCAAGTTTTTGACTATTTTTTGAATCAGTGTTGCCGACCTTAGGAAATTCAAATTTCATCAATGAATTCTAGTTTTTTTTTTTTTTTTTAAATACAAAGTCCTGAAAGTCTCAATTTAATATTTACTTAGAGGCTGTTGGACTCTCTCCCCTCTAAATTACAACGGGTGACATATCCAAGGTTTAGTTAGTTCGGGTCAATCGGGAATAAGCTTCTGTTTGACGTCAACTCTTATTAAGTTTTGCATTGGTGGTCTGGACCAATTCTCAATTTAAATCAGTTCTAATAATTTTATTCTATGACAAATTTTTTCCAAAAAACTTTTTTAAGATAAATTACTCAATGAAATAATTATATATTTTTATTTAGCATTTTTTACCCGAAATAAAAGAAATTTGGGTTTTGTCCTCTACTACATGGCATTGAGGTCTAATTTAAATAATTGAAAAACAGATTGTTGAAATGGTTGGATTAAAAATTAGTTTTATATTTTTTGGGGGGCTTTAGATTAGTTATGGTCACCATAATTGGACAACCATGCAAGTTATTGATGATTTATTTGGTATTCAAACTTTATCTACTGAGTCAAGGGTCAAGGTATTAGTATTTGTTAAATTAGTATTATATTAGTATATGATGCTTGGTTGAATAGATGTTAAGTCACTGAACTATTAAATTAGTTGTTAATATCAAATATAAGTTTATTTGACTTATTCGCCATGATATTAGAGGGTGTTTCAAGACTTACAATATTTGCTCTTTTTTAAAAATAAAAAAAATTTAACTTGTATTGATATTTTCCTGTGGTTAGGTTTTCGGATCTAGCTCTCAGCATTGTCAGTGTTGGCTTTTGAGTTTATTTTTTAATAAAATTTTATTAAAAAAATATAAGAGTAATTCAATTTCACATATTTTAATTATTAATCTGATTAAAAATTAAAATATTATTTGATTTATTCAAAAAATATTTTTTAATTTTTTATTTTTAATTTTAAAAATAATAAAAATGTAACTTGATAATTTAAATTTATGATTTTAAATAATTTTTATTTAAATATTGAAATAATAATAGCTAAGTGTCATTTAAGTTAAAAAAACTAAATGTAATTCAAAAAAAATAAAATAAAAATTATTCAAAAATTTAAAATAATGAAATTAAATACTTAAAAATGTAATTTTATTAAATTAAAAATAATAAATTTAAAAAATAATTTTTAAGTAAATTAAATAATATTTTAATTTTTAATTAGATAAATAATCAAAGTATGTAAAATTAAATTATATTTACGTTTTTTTAATAAAACTATTAAATAATCGTTAGTTAACAATTAGTTAGAAAAGAAAGTATTCTTTTATTATGAAAATGAGATTAAGTGTTATTTAAATAAATTTAGAAGAATAAGAGTACTTTTTAATAATTAATATTTTCCAAACTTTCTAAGGTAGGAAGAGCTTGGCTTACTAATTAATTATAATTGATTAAGTATACTGATGGCTTTGACCAACCAAGTCGTATAATTGAAACCCGACTTGTTTGACAATGATATGTGGCCAATGTTGTCAGATACGAGTGCTAATGCCCTCATACGGTTTTCTCTCTTTTAAGTATAAATAAATATATATGCATACAAATTAAATTACATAATAATAAATTATACTACATTTTATTAATTTCATTTAAGTAACACATTTGTATTAACACTATACGTCACGTTACCCCTCGCATTTTCTTCTTATTAAATAAAAATCGAATAATAAATATTTACATGATTGTTGAGTAATGTCACGACTCATGTTACACGATAAAAGAAGCTTTAACATGTTGCAAAATATTTCTTTTTTGTAGTAATAAAATAATAATATATGGGGGCTTCACACGTGGGAACACCCGAATGAGCAGGAAAGTGAGGAGACACACCCATACACGGTGTAATTCAATTCAACTCTATCTTCACTTCAACCAATTTTATGAATTGCAGACGACCATATAAAGAATGAAAAACCAACTGTAATTAATTTTTTCAGTATTCTAGCTCGAAAAGACAACTGTATTTGTTATTTCATGTCTCTCCGGAATTCTTTTGTTAACTATTTTTATATCTTTGTGTTTAAGTTTTTATTTTTAGAATTTTGTTCCGATGCTAACCCATTTGCACATCCTTTCTTGTGAAACAGTGAAAGCTCTTCAAGCGATATCGGAAAAACTGCAGATCAAAGACATCAACTTCACCCAAAGTTTCTGCAGCACCAATGTTTCCCAGAATGCGTTGGATGACGACATTGCAAGGGATATCGCCTGTAGTTGCAGCGACACCGTTTGCCACATCACCATCTTGTATAAAACTTAGTCCCTTTCTCCCCCTTTGCCCAGATTATATATTCATACCTACAGAAAGACAAAGTTGATTTTTTTATGGTTAAGTGCGAAGTCACATGAAGTTATGACTTCCTTTGCTTTTTCTTGGATGAAGTGTATTGACAGGTCAAAATTTGACGGGAACTCTACCGGCTGAATTTGCGAATCTTACTTCTCTGCGGGCAATGTAAGTTTATTAACCATTTCATTCGCATTCAAGTAAGTTTGTTGACACCCCATGAATCAGTCTCACCGGTCCATTTTGACTGGTATTTGTTGTAGTAGCTGAGGTCTTTTGTGTACGCCGACTAGAGTGTATAGTTTCCCTCAGGCAGAATAGACTGCTACAGTGTCCATCAAGTGCTAAATCCAGAAATTCATAATTACTTGCAAATTTATTTCGGGACACAGAGCTGAGAAACCAATCTGGGTGTTTGATTGCCCGGTTGGGCTTATGCTTTTCTGATATTTGGAAGCTGAAGCAAAACATGCAGGTCAAAAATGCTGAGTGGACAGAAGTAGAGAAGATCCTGCCTGTTTGGATGTGTTTTTAAAATTGGTTTTCTTTTTCTTTTGAAGACATAATTAATTGACATGTAACTTTAGGAAACTGTTTGGTTGAATATTTTCAGAAAGCATGCCCACTTCTAGAACATAACGAGAAATTTCAGAATTCTCATAAACTATTTTTAGTTGAAAGTGAAAAAAATATGAAAGAACAGAAATGTCAAGATTTTTATTATTTCCCATTTTCAAAGACAGAAAGCAGAAACTGAGAAGAGAAAACAGACTACGAATCCAAATAGGTCACTAATATAAATGTTAAGAATTCTAGTTCTATGGTAACTCATTGTTGCCTACCACTATTCCCTTTGTATGGCTCATTAGATTTAGAACCAAATCTATATGCAAGGTTAACTCTTAGTTTTTGCAATGGTCATTTTTAAACTAGTGGAAACTAAGAAAGGATTCTCTGTCAACACAGTGATCTCTCTCGCAACTATATTTGGGGACCAATTCCAACGGCCTTTGGTCAGATTCCTCTAAGCTGGCTGTAAGTCTTTAGAGTTTTAGTTCTCTTGGTTCTGCAGGACCATTTTCCTATTAACTATTGGGGAAGTTTGTTAGACACAGGTTGGCTAGATTTTAAACAATGCTACACTGCAGGTCCCTCGGTGGAAACCGGATTATTGGTTCAATACCCGAGGAAATTGCAGATATTGCTACTCTTCGGGTGCTGTAAGTTTGGAAATTATTCTGTCTGATTAGGATCCTTTTCTGGCAGGGACTAGAGAGTTTCAGTCCTTCCCTCTCTAAATATTTAAGTATGCTGTTTGGATTTGTTTTTGAAAATTGCTTTGTTTTCAAAACCAGAAAATACATTCGACTGATTATTTTGAAAACTATTTTTGGAAGAATATTCAAAAACATATCCCTTTTTCAGAAAATTTAAAGAGTTGTTTTCAGATTTCTCATTAACTATTTTCAGTTCAAAGTGAAAATAATAAAGCATTCAAGATATTTGGGCTTTGTGGTTTTGAGAAGAAGTGAAAACTGGAAAACTGGTTTCTTTTATAAACGGATGGATGGAGCATGGCCTCTGTTTTGACATGAACCACATCAACCAGGGATTTGGAAGACACTTTGCTTGGAGGACCTCTTCCACAGAAGCTTGGAAATATGAGAGACTTGCGTTGGATGTAAGACTGCTAAGCCTTGTTCCCGACTTCTTCTCATAATATTACTTCAAATACATTTTGTGTCAAGGAATATTTATTATTGCCACTACTATTCTTACCTTTTGCATGTTTTATGGGAATTCATATCTAGCTCATGATTTCTGCAGGCTTATTTCAGGTAATAATTTCACAGGAACGATTCCAGGAACATTCATCAACCTCAAGAACTTAATGGATTTGTAAGTCATGGTTCATTGTTTGAACATTATTATAACTCTTGATAGTCAATAATTTTAAAATTTCATTGACTTATTGCAGTAGGATTGATGGGAGCATGCTATCTGGGAAGATACCTGATCTGATAGGGAACTGGACATATATTGATAGACTGTGAGTATCATTCTTTGCTTCGTTCTTAAGATATATTACTCTTGCCTCTGAATTCATACATGTCTTTCTGTTTAAATTTTTATTTGGGAATTACGGGTAAATTCCACTATAATTTGGATTTTATTTCAGTTTGGTCATGCTAGTTTTAATTGTTGAAGATTATGTCATATGGCTTCTAATTGCTTCTAATAGGCCCATCCAGCTTTTAATTTATTGCTAGCGGTTTGGATGAAACTTTCACGTGTAGCTTAAGTAACTAATTATTAGTGGCCTACGTGTAAAAATTTCCATCCAAACTGTTAATGCCAAGAGGCAGATGGGCCTAATTGAAACAAGTGAAGAACAGCTAGTTTATTAATTGTTGCAAAGTGAAATTTTGGAGACTAAATTAAAAGGAAGACAAACATTTAGGGTCATAAGGGAAATTTTATCCATGTTTTTAGTTTTACCTACTAGTATCTCAAATAAATATGTATTTACTTGCATTTTTTTCAGGGACTTGCAAGGCACAGGCATGAATGGGCCCATTCCTTCTACCATATCTCAGCTGGAAAGCATAACAGAATTGTAAGTCGTTGCATGCATTCTAACCTACTTTATGTCTAGTAAACCTTTTCTCCAAATTAAGGAAAAGAAAAGAAAATTTTGAGACCTGTTTTACTGCATCTTAATTTTCAGGAGAATATCAGATTTGGCTGGATCAAATATAAAGTTCCCGGATCTGAGTAGACTGACAAACTTGGAGTATCTGTAAGTTGAATATGGGTGTAATTAACTTTGGAATGGGGTAGCAAAAAGAAAAGAAAGAAAAGATTCTGGTTATAATTCCATGCGTTCAATTGAAGTTAAGAACAGTTTCTATTTTTGTTTGATAGGATTCTGAGAAATTGCGGGATTGTTGGCTCCATCCCACATTACATTTCCGGATTTACTGAACTTGAATTATTGTAAGTGGATTATAACTGTGTTGGTTTCTAATGGAGATGTATGGTCTCAAATAATTTTACTTGAATGTTGATTTGGATGTCACTGATATCTCCTTAACACATTTTGCGATTTATTGGTCTAATTTCCCCTTTTGGAGGGCAATTTTATTTCCTGTTGTCGATGTTTCCTTACTTGCAGAGACCTAAGCTTTAACATGTTGACTGGTAACATTCCAACATTATTTGCAAGTTTGAGTTCAAGGCTAGATTTCTTGTAAGGAACTAAACACGGAGTCATTTTGAATTTTCCTAATCAGCTCTCAATCTGGCTGTTGGCATTATCCTTGATTTCTCTTCAATGTGAGACCTAATGTTTACCACGGATGTAGGTTCCTGAATAATAATTCACTCACTGGAGCAATACCTGATTGGGTAATTAATGACAAATATGGCGTGAAAATGTATGGATTTACCATATTTAAATTCTCAAATTATAGAGGGTGATCCTTTTTTGTTAAGATTTTGACATAAAAGAAATCATATCAATTCATATTGCAGTGATGTTTCTTACAACAACTTCACAAGCTCATCTTTGTATAGTTGCCCGTTATCATCATTTGTGTAAGTTGTTTCATGTTACTTGTTCTGCGTCATTTTCAATTTCTAAAGACCTAAAATTTATTCCTCTTTCATATCGGTCAACAGGAATTTAGTTTCCACCTATTCAAGTTCGGCTTCAGCGAGCAACTCGTGAGTTACTTACATGCCAAGACCACTAAAACATTTTTAGGTTGAAAATGTTTAGCGGTTTAATCAGTGTTTATTTTTGTAGAGATTCCTGGTGCATGAAGAAGGGCCTTGGCTGTTCGGGGACACCAAAATGTGAGTACTGAGCGTGACAGTCTCTTGTTATGATTTGGTTGTGAACTTTTCATACATTTGTTATGCAGACTATTCCTTGTTCATCAATTGTGGAGGAGAAAGTACAACCTATGGGGGAAATGAATATGCAGCGGATTTGACCCCAGGGGGCCCATCATACTTTGTAACTTCAGAAAAATGGGCTTATAGCACCACAGGGGTTTTCACGGATCGTGAAAGAGAAGATTATAATGCAAGCAACTCATTCGGTTTGAATATAACTGGTGCAGACCTCTATCGAACAGCTCGCCTCGCCCCCACTTCACTGAGGTACTATGGACTTTGCTTGCGTAAGGGCAGTTATAAAGTCACGCTTCATTTTGCTGAAATAATGTTCTCTGGAGATCAGACCTTTAGCAGCCTCGGAAGGCGCTACTTTGATGTATCAATCCAAGTAAGCATGACATCATGTCCTACATGACTTGTTGCCACTATTTGCAATTTATTGGATTTTTGTACTTTTTGGTAGTCATGTATTCCAATTTCAAGTCCAGAAAGCCAAAAGCTAGAATTGCATTAATTTTAAGGCTTAAGCCCAAAATACTGCAAATTCTTGGCTTTTGAATTTTTTGGATTTTTGGACTTTGAACACATATGAGCACAAGCATGACTGATATTTGAGCCTCTTACAAGTGATATTAGCTTTTGACTTAAGTGCTAATTCACTCCTTTCTCAGGGGAATGTAGTTCTGAAGAATTTTAATATTGCAAAAGAAGCTGGAGGTGTAGGCAAGGCCATCACTAGGGATTTTAATATCACTGTTAATGATAGCACTTTGGCAATCCATCTGTACTGGTCAGGGAAGGGAACTACTTCACTTCCACATAAGGCAGTATATGGCCCTCTCTTATCTGCTATTTCTGTGACACCGAGTAAGTATTTTGTACATTTTTTTTCCTCTTCATCTTTTCACGAGTTTAATTGTTGCTTTTGTTGTAGATTTTAATCCTCATTCCGGAGGACACTCTGCTGAAGCTATTGTTGGAATTATAGTTGCGACCTGTGTGGTCGTCGTGTTAACTGTGCTTTTACTGCGATGGAAGGGTTACATTTGTGCAAAAGATCTTGAAGACAAAGGTGAAACCTGAACTCTGACATGGGAGATTTTACATACGACATTCCTCTCTCTCTCTCTCCCCTCTCTGTTGCCATTTAATTGCCTCAGAAGGTGCATCTTTAGAACACCCTCCCCCCCTCCCCCAACACACACACATGGAAAAATGGAGAACTTATGAGTTGAACAGTTGAAATTTTGCAACCTTAATATTGATTGAAAAGATTAGTAGTATTATTTTGCCGTGTTTTCTTTTCTTTTTTTGTTTTTCCTTTTTTGTGTTGACTCTCTAATGTTTCTCATTTCTTCGGGAATTTCTATTTCCTCTCCTTTTCATAGAACTGCGAGCACTCAATCTGCAGACAGGCTACTTCACCTTGAGACAGATTAAAGCTGCAACAGATAACTTTGACCCTGCCAAGAAAATTGGTGAAGGAGGATTTGGCCCAGTTTATAAGGTAGTCCTGATGCAAATTAATGATCCTTCATTCTAGGTTATCAACCTGATATTGTGATGAAACAAGTACATTCTGAAAGGAGGAAATAAAGGCAAAAGAATTATTTTTCTTATCGCATATCTTATGTTTGTCATGTTCAAATAATGACTCTGACATTACCACCACTTGATCTCAGGGAGTATTATCAAATGGATCTGTAATTGCAGTTAAACAGCTCTCCTCCAAATCAAAGCAAGGAAATCGTGAATTTGTTAATGAAATAGGCATGATATCTGCCTTGCAACACCCCAATCTTGTAAGGCTATATGGCTGCTGCATTGAAGGAAACCAGTTGCTACTAATTTATGAATACATGGAAAATAATTGTCTTGCCCGTGCACTATTTGGTAATTTCTTCTTCATTGACATCTATTTATGCCATTCTAAAATGACTATACTGAGGTAAATCTCTCTCTCTCTTAGGCCATGAGGAACAACGACTACAACTGGACTGGGCAACAAGAAAAAAAATATGCCTAGGAATAGCCAGGGGATTAGCTTATCTTCATGAGGAATCGAGGTTAAAAATTGTCCACAGGGACATTAAGGCCACTAATGTGCTGCTTGACCGGGATCTAAATGCTAAGATATCTGACTTTGGTTTAGCTAAGCTTGACGAAGAGGAGAACACTCACATTAGTACAAGAATCGCCGGAACATTGTAAGTTTTTTGCCTTCAATTTGTGGATGTGGAATTCTTTTTTCCATTTTGTTTTTAGTTTTTCTTGTTTTAGGATCCAATCTTTTGAGTTAAAATTTTTAAATTGAGAAGGAATTAATGTCTTTACAAATGATTTCTCTGTGGGATCATTTTATCTTAAATAGTGACTCTGAATATTAATATCCTTACATTAATGATTATTAGTCATGGAATTTAGCAAGGGGATAATGCTAATATGAGAAATGATTTTGAATGTGCAGTGGATACATGGCTCCTGAATATGCAATGCATGGTTACTTAACTTATAAAGCAGACGTTTACAGTTTTGGAATTGTGACATTAGAAATTGTCAGTGGGAGATGTAATGCCAGTAACAGGACAAAGGAAAATTCTTTTTATATTCTTGACTGGGTAGGTCCAATACCTTTCTAGTTCAATTGGCTGGTCCTGTCTTGTGTTGATAGTAATGTATTAAAGTTGCGTAGCATGAAATCTTGTTAGACTTGTCTGCATTTCTAACAAATCAATTGGAAGGGAAGTAGAATGATTTGAAACGAACAAAACAAACATTTGGTCACCTTAATTCCAATCACAGCACAATGACACACACAAACATTAAGTTACTTGGTTTCTAACAAGGCAATATGTTCTTCCCAGGCACACGCCTTAAAAGAGAAGGGGGACCTGATGGAGCTAGTGGATCCAAGGTTGGGATCAGAATTTGACAGAGAAGAAGTGATGGTGATGATTAACGTTGCTCTGCTCTGCACTGACGTCTCACTTGCCGTTAGGCCTGCTATGTCTTCAGTTGTGAGCATACTCGAAGGTCGAATGGTCCCTCATGAATTGATTTCAGAACCCACTGTATCAAGTACTGGGATTAAGCCGGAGAGCATTGAAGAAAACAGGAATGACAGGCGAGTCTCAAGTGCGTCAGTTGACGGACCATGGACGGCTTCTTCTGCTTCTGCTGGCGATCTCTGCCTTGTCAAATTGGATTCCGCTTATTTGGCAAAAAGAGAATAGAGAATGGTGCATATCGGGTCTTTGTTTCGCCTTGGATATACTCGGCATCTTTTTCTTTCTCCCATCTTCACTATCTTCTCTTCTAAAATCTCTCTTATAGTAAATGGATGCTCGCTTCACTAGAGAGGTATACAGATATTTGTGTTGCAAGATGATTACAATTTTTTATTTAAAGTTTTCATTGTCATAAAGTTATGGGATTATTTTATTTTATTTGTTTTTTTTTCTGGATCAGGAATTTCATATCAGGAAAAAAATAAGTAGAAAAGAACTAAAACAAATGGAACCAACTATATAATCCTTAGCAATACGACTTTGAACTCTTGAAGGAGGGAATGCCGACAGGAAGATTTCAGGAAATTTTTTTTTTCTTTGCTTGAATGGTTAGGAGACATGTAGTAGAATCTTCTAATGGATGATATGGATAGATAAAATTCCCAATCCAAGCATTCATCCTGATTAATGCTTTCCAACTCTAAATCTGCATACGAGCCAACCACCAAGTTTCCCAGTGACCTGGGGCTGTAAATGGGTCGGTTCTGGACGAGACCTGTTCTGGAACTAATTATGTTAGATCTAGACCCGACTCTGATCTAGAACTACTTTATAGCCGGAAAAGGATCCGGGCTGAGGGCAATTGGAATGGCCTTGAAACCAGTTGAGTCCAAGGGCAAAACTAAAAGAACAAAAAGGGTTTCCTTTTCTAACTACCAAATGTGGCATAAAATGGGTGCTATTTTGAGATTACAAATCACTGTTCAAACAAATTAAAAAGTTTAAATCCAAATTGATCCGTGTTTATTTCTTTAGAATCTCATGTATGATATAGTCACACTTTATAAATGTCAAGTTTTTTTGTGATATCCTCAATATTCTAGTTAATGTTTAAATTAAAAGAGATTCACGTGATCTTTTATAAACAATTTATGTAAAAAAAAAAAAATTACAGCCATTTGTAAAAAACTCTAATAATCACACTTTAATTAGTTTATTGAGTTTGATTGACAAATTTAACATGATTAAATTTAAATTATTCAGGGGTAATTGCTTTAAAATATTGTATTCCAAGTATTATGAAAATATTTATTCATGGTATATTATTCTTGGGTTTTTAAGATCATTGATTGACAGACTACTTAACCAAAATTTATATTTATTTTAATGAGAAGTACTTGTTTTATGAGTAAATCCCCAAATCATTACTCTTGGGTTGATCAAGGTCAATGATTGGGTGGGTGTTCAAAAATTTGAACCAAATCATATACATCAATTAAATTTTGGTTTAATTTAGTTTTGCAAAGGAAATGGATTGATTTGTGATTTAACCACTTAATAAATCACCTAAATTGAATTGAATTGTGTGCATGTGTGTGTGTGTGTATAGACACATACACACACACATGCATACACACATACACACATACACACACATATATAATTTGTTTTTATTATTTGATTGCATATTTTTACTTTATGTTCTCTTTTATATTCATTCTCGTACTTGAATTCATGCAAATGTACAAGATACAAAAAGAAAGAAATAATACAAAAATATCATACATAACAGCTGAATTATATACAAAAAACATGAAATATAAGGATTATAAGTATTAAAATAAAATGCTATAAAATACTATTAAAATTCATGTTAGAACTTGAAAAAATGATGAAAATTTTGAGATGGTGATCAGATGTTGCACACTTTAATTTATGTGAATTGTTATATATATATATATATATATAGGAAATAATTCATGTAAATCTATTCATTTATTTCTCTTTATTTTTTTATATATAAAAAAGGAAACAATTTATATAAATCAATTTCATTCCAATAATTAATTTTCATATTTTTTCTATATTATACATGTATGTATGAAAAAAGAAAACAATTTATAAAAGCCCATTCTTTTTTAATAATTAATTCTTATCTTTTTTATTTTTTCATGTATAATTGCAAAAAAGAAACAATTCAAGTAAATTAATTCCTATACAATAATTAATTTCCTTTAGACGATTTGAATTGCGCGCACATGTGTATATGTAGAATTTATTTTTATTATTTAACTATATATTTCTCCTATCTATTCTCTTTTATATTTATATTAGTACTTAAATCTACGTGGATGTACGAGATGGAAAAAGAAAGAAATAATAAAAAATATTATTCATAACTACTTTATTAAATTAAATAAAAGTAACATGAAATATAATGTCACGATTCAAAAATTTGGATCAGTAACCGTGCTAAGATTGGAATGGATTCCATCCTAGCAAGTTTACAGAAATCATGTAAACATCATATAAACCAAAAGTGACTAAATCAAATTATATATAAACACAATCTGAACAGAATATATTTCTAAATTCAATAATCTTGTCAATTATAGAGGAGGACCTATGTATATTAATGGAGTTTAACTACACACACCTCACAGTTTTTAATAGAAACAAAAGAAAACATGTTATTTGCTAGTAGTAGAATCAATGATTTTCTAAGATGGCAAGATTTGACGAAATATCAAATTCTAAATCTAAAAACTAATAAGGGGTGAGTCGATAAATGTAGTGAATAATAATGTGTAATTATGAGAACAAATGATATGTATAACACGTCTAATAGAAAACTTTATAGTATAACAAATTTTTTACACCTATCAGAGATTTTAGAGAGCTCATGATTTATAATAGAATAGAAATCAATAGGCGATCTCATAGTCTGCTGATAATAGAAATTAGGAGTTGACCTAATAGTCAGCTGATAACAGAAATCGAGAGGTGACATGTTAGTCCTCCAATATACGGATATATAAGTATCTCATGTCGGCCTAGCATGAGAGGTTAGCATCACCCTACTATCTGGGGATACGGTATGGGGTACATCTAGTCTAACATTTACTGTTATTAGTTACAATATTCAGATAATCTGAATCTCTCTTAAAACAGTTTTTCAATATTAACATAAATAGTCTTAACAGAAAACAAAAGTTTTCAGTTATAGATGTAAACAATATCGGAAAAATAGAATCTGACAATTTCTCAAAATAAAACCAATAATTTTACATACATATCTCTTATTATGTTTTTTATAATAAAATTTAGTTCAATTTTCAAAAATCAAGTATATCATGTAAAATCAGAATTTATAACAGATATAAAAAATAGTAAATACTCATAAATGCACACTATTACTCATTGAATAGGTTGGAATCAAATGGTTAGAAACTTCTGAAGAATCTAAAACCACAAATGCGATAACATTTCCAAATAAAAATCCTGAAGTACTTAAGAATTTAATTTATTCTAGAAGTTTTTAGTCAAACTTGTTTGATTGAGACAATCCAAATCAAAAACCAAGTTTAGATCTTGAGGTCCAAAATCCAAACCTAGATATAATATTTTTATATTTATTTATTTACTTTTTTAAAAGAGAAATCCAATTTCATATTTAGATCCCAAAATTTAGAGTCCAAATCCAGGAACTCAATCTAAATCTAGAAATCCAAATTCAACTCATTAGTACCAAAATTAAAATGCTAATATAAGTTCAATTTCAATATATTATATTGCTGTTGTTTTCATTGTTATTGTTGTTGTTGTTGTTTTTGTTGTTGTTGTTGTTGTTGTTGTTGTTGTTGTTATTATTATTATTATTATTTTAAAGGTCAAAGTCCCTATTTGAAATTCAATCTAAATCCACTAAATGAAATCTACTATTTAAATTTATATATAGATTCTAAATTTAAAACTAAGTTTAGATCTCGAGATCCAGATTCAGAACCTAATTCACTATTTAGATTCAAAACACAAGTCCTTCTACAAAAACTGGATTTGAAATTTAAATCTAAATCTAGATCCATATTCATTATGCAATCCTTTGGGTTCAGTGTCACAACCCTAAGACAAATCCCAAATTCATATTCTCAATTACAATTCTAGTTTCATTAGATCTAGACCTATAATCTTAAAACTATCTCAAGACTCTTAAACTGAAACTCAAAACCATCATCCAACTCCAGATCCAATATGGGGTTTATGTCAAAATCCAACATACAACCCATTTCCCCATAACCATGATTGAATCCAAAATCTAAACCCAAGCCCGATTCATGCCTGATTAACTGTGTGGCATTCCAATCCAAAGAATTCCTTGGCTCACCTTTGCTAGTATGCTTATTAGCCTTTTGATGTAGTTATAGGATTATGTAAGGTTAAGTTGTAAGAAATTGATTAATTTCTAAAAGGGAGAAATTTCTTTGAAATTTGAATCTCTTATCTTTATTCTTAAAGGAAAAAATTTAAGTATTAAAAGGGGATAATTGAGAAATTAGAAAAGCCCAGAGAAGAATTTTGAAAACCAAGTTAAAAAGGAATGAGAAGCTTTTGTAGGAAAAATTTTAAAATGATTAGGGAATTAATAGTAATTAGTGAATTAAAAAAAATTTATAGAAATATATGGATGCAAATACATTCAATTTTCTTGGACAATTACATTAATAGGGTCTCAATAGGGATCTCCTAAAAATTTTGGGTTTAATTGACAAAATTTAGAGATTTTGTGGTCAAAATGTAAATAAGTGATAGTTAAGGGACCTATTTGTCAATACAACAAATGTTAGGTTGGTTAAGGGCCACCTCACCTCTATATAAACACATAACACACATACACATGGCCATTTTCGTGCATCAAGCAACGGGAAAGAGAGAGAGAAAGGGAAGAAAGAAAAGAGAAGAAAAAGAAGGAAAATTCAAGAAAATAAGGTGAGTTCCATGAAATTTTATGATTCTAATTTGATTTTCTTGCAATTTCTTGCTAAACTAAGTTAGTACATCACATATACATGTATAAATCTAGATTTTGTTCCATTTTGGAGCACCAAAAGGAGCTGAAAATCTGCCATGACTGAAACTCTTCAATTTCCAGCTAAGCCTATTTATTCAAAAACTTGTTTGGAAATGGTTATTATTTAACTCTTCTTGTATCATATGGTGAAACTATG